TAGACTGATGGTAACTATTTCTGAAAGTCAGTCATTACAAAGAGTGCTAGGGATCACTATGGGTTAGGACTAAACACTCAGTGCTAAATGAGTAACAGTGTTTTCTATTAATCGCTAACAGTAATTCTTCACCATGGAAAATAAACAACATTACTACTTTCAGACTACAACAATAACAACACTAACCATGTTAAATATTTTTGTGCCTTTTTCCAGTGTTTCCTACCCTGAGCAAGATTTATAGGGTTATAGTAAAGTACATTAGAAAAACATGGGGATGGGTGCAGTGATGCAAACCAGTCAGAAGCTAAACTGTCCTACATCACTCTGTCCCAGCTAAAAACCCCATTATGAAAATACCTTTTTCTGTCATGTTTTCCCGCTCTCCCACACACATGCCTAACCACTTATATCCCTTCTCACAAACCTTTCTTCCCAGGTTTTTAATGTAGAAATTACCTGCTTTCTCCTCTTGACACCTATATGCATATCTGGGTTTAGTAAACAATCCCACTAAATGCACCCTGATAGCCCCTACACAGATCCTCTGCCTCCTTGGAGTTCATCTGGCACCAAACTACTCAGTGCTTAGATCCCATGATCGGTATAACACGGATCTTCTCACAGCAGATTTGCAAGCTTCTCTCCTAGGGCCTTCCCTCATGTATCCTTCTCAGGCACCACAAGCACCACGGCTTGGCTATAGAGGCCTTAGGTTTTGGGTTATATGCCCCAAAACAGCAGCAGGGACTTTTGTCTCAGCACTTGCTATTCCCAAACTTCTCACTACTCCCCTAGCTCAGTTTCCTTTGTTAAGAGGTCAGTGCTAGAAGTGCTTACAGGGCCCTTGGGCAGATTACTGTGGATGGTTCTTCCCAAATGGGTCTTGCCTTCAGGCTTGGAGTCTTTGGGAGTCCAGACTCCCGTGGGCAGGCGAACTCTCACCAACTAGTGCAAAAAGTCTCTCACTTGTTTCATAACTCCTCTCAGGTACAAACCATATATTGCCACATGTGGCTTATAAATGTTACCAAGTTTGTAAATAAATTACCTGTCTGTAAGGTGGTTCACAGTTGATATGAAACACTTGATAACAAGGTTACAGACCAAACTACAACAAATGCTGAGGGAACTGCTGTCTTGAGCTGGGCAGACCACTTCGAGAAAACCCTTAATGGCTGAATTAAATGATCAGAATTTCTCCCTTCCAGGATGAGAAAACCACCTACTGAATATCCCTATGCATTAAACACTAGAGTATCCTTCAGTGCAGATCTTCTGTGTGACTTAGACTGAATTCCAAAACTGGGGATGATGGAGAAGAGCTGGGTCACACCACAGAGCCCTGCTATATGACAACCAATTGCATTTCCTCCCAGATGATACAGCACAATCCAGATGACCTTGAGATGCATGGATTTAAGGGAACAGTTTCATAAATGAGTACAGCAGACATCAAAGAGAACTGAATTAGACAGACAGACCAAACAGACACAAGCGAACTTGAACATTGCTGTCATAACACTCTTTATAACTTTTCTCTCCAGAGCAAAAGGAGTCCGTGTAGGCATCTGTCTATGCAACAAGACAAACTGCAGAGCAGCTCAAGTCCCCAATTCACTTACTTTCAGTAACTGCATATATTTGATTTTTGAATATGCTTAGTGGAGGAGCCTTAGGAGGCTGAATGATAATGTGGAGAAGTTTATAATAGAGAGGGAGGGGAAGATGACAGCAGGCAGAAGAAGAGGGAAGCTAAATGAAGGCTCACTACTGCATCCATTCACTTCAAAATAACATCACTTGCTCCTGTGAAAGGCCTGCGAGATCCTTCACAGCAATTCAGGAGCTTGTCATCAGATTTCCTTTTCAACTGAAAGACTCATGAAACAAGTTCAAAGAACTAACTCTCAGTTCTGTCTCTCAGTAGAACTGCAAGCTGCTTTTGAACCTTGTGTTTTGCAGAGTCTTGTCTGCCCAGTACATAGCACTGGTCAAGATCACAGAACATTTTCCTTGCTGAACGCCAAACAGATGTTACAAAACACATTTGGTGGAACATATATATAAACACGTCTTGGCGTTTTCTCATAATAAACCTAAAAAGCACAAAACCCTGGAGCTGATGGGGGAATGCAGAACTGAATTCTGGTCCATAGCTGGTTTTCATGCCACATTTTAAAAACCTCCTACACCCCAGGAATCTTCGAAGACGTATTATCAGACTCTCAGGCTCCAAATTAGTAAACTAAATATGGGGACTCTCCTCTGGCAGAGGAAGCAGCCACACCATTAACCTTTCTTATCCTCCAAAACAGAGTGTCCACATTCTGCCTGCTGTGTCTCTGAGGTATTGGCTGAGACTCTGCTAGTTGGTCTGGGCTAAAACTGCTCCAGGGGTTGCTCTAATAAATTACATGTATAGGCAATTGAGTTACAGTGCCCAGAAACATTCTCTGGTGCTGTTTAACTTACTAGCATAGATGTAACTCTTATTTCTCTTGGGCTCTGGCTATGGATCCAGAAATAGGCTCTAGTTCCCAGGTTCAGACCCACAGCTTCACTGAAGGAAGACTCATGCATGCAAAAAAGTCCTCCTCAAGGGCTTGATTTCTGTGTAAAGAAAATGGATAAAATGCAGACCATGTAGCAGAGGTCAGGCTTTGTGCAGTATGCTTCAGCTCTCACTACAGCTCTGGGCATGGAGTGCAGGGCCCTGAAAGGAGCTCTTTGCAAACTGAAGGGCTTTCAGCAAGTTGGCTATACCAAGGGACCAGCTTATGGTCAGCTAAAGGTTTTGCTATGGGGCCATAAAACTGTATTATAGATTCAAGTCATAGGCTGTCTAAGTAAAGAGGTATTCAAGTCAGAGTTTTAAAATGCCTGATACTGACAAATAAATACATATTTGGGAGCACAAGGGGAGATGTCCTGAAAGCAAAAATGGTAACACCAGCCTTCAATCAAAATAGCAAATAAAGCAGGTCTGCCATTGTTTGATAGAAACACATTCAAGTGATGATCTTTAGTCTAAGAAAAATCACCAGCTAACCAGTCAGAAGCCACAGGGAACAGCCTTTTATAATATTTATATTTATTTTCTTTGCCTGGGTCAGAGCCAGCTCCCTTAAATTCCATAGTGGTTTCATTTTTGACTTTTCATGGGAGCTGGGCTGAAAACTGTGGCTCTAATTTTCCACTTGCAGAGCATACTGGTGACTCTGTCTATTTATCCATCCCAACAATTGCTCATGTGCATGGTTTCTTCTGTTTCTCCTAGTCCACAGCAGGTGTCTGCATGACCTGTGAAATACTGCTGTAGTTCTTACCAACAGCACAGCACTGCAAGGCCTCCACAAATCCAGGGGCCCTTGATCAGAGCTCTGACAACAGACACTGTGACCAGGCCTGATCTTCTACTTCCCAAACACACCTGAGGACAGGTGTTCTTGTACTACAACTGGTAATCTGACGATTGCCATGGCCAAAGGACTTGAGAACGAGATCTTCAAAGAAAGAAGCTGACTGCTGACACTTAGGGATCTTATAAAGGCCATGCTTGAGCTTCACACTTAATCCCATTTTTCAGTTGTCAAGGAATAATGATTTGTTACAAGGAATGGTGTTAGAACTGAATGATGTGACTTAAGTCCAGGTCAGCTTCAGCTTTTGAAAATTAAAGAAAAATATCTGCTTTGCAAAGAAGATGTAAAAAGCATAAAAAAGGGCAGACAAGGTGATCAAAAATACATTTAAAAAACACAGAGAACGATGGAAATTTCAGAGGAGTTTTTTTGTTATAGCAAGTGGCTCCAGGAGTAAACAGCGCAATGTTCCAGAGTCCCTCAGTTTTCAGGTAAACTTTCCGTGTCTGAGTATTCCAAGAGTTCTGGTTTGGGCTCCAAATGCACCCAAACATCTAATTTTAAAAACTTAAAACTATCCTGATAATTATATTCCTGAAGAATAAAATATTTAAGCTTGTGCCCAGACCCCACTGGTTTAACGAAATCTAAACATGTACATGAGTGCTTGGCTGGCAAGTGCAAAGATCACCTTCAAGCATCATTCAAGCACTGCTGCTGGGCTGAATGAAGTCAGAAAAATGGTTGTCAGGATTTCTGTAGAGGCATCTTAACCCTGTTAGTCTCTAGAGGAGCTGAACCATTCATTTCCAGAGAGACAGCATCCCCCTTACAAGGAATCTAATTCTTCCCTGCGCCATTTCAAAGTGATGCTGACACAATGCCACTAGCAACACCCATGTAAAATGGAGTAATACAAGGAAAGACTAGTGCCAGGTTTCCATTCCTGACCTCTAACATAATGTTGACATAAATTACTGGTCAAGATCCCAGCTCCTTCCTGCATCTGTTCATTATCTCTAAAACCAAGTACTGTATTGCCTAGTTCTCAGGGAAGCAGGAACCATAATTTGATTAATAAGTACAAAATCACTTTGAGCTTCTTAGATAAAATACATGGAACAAATATTGTCCAGGCCCATATTTTTACATTATAAACTAGGCAGAAAGTGGGAACAACAAAGAGGAATGGATTAATTGCTACATTCATATAATATAATTCATAAATGGATAAATGCTTGCAGCTATTTGACTTGGCAACATTTGCAGCACTCCACAGCAGTAAACCAAACAGAGTCAAAAGAGGATGGAGCAAATCCCTGCAATAAACACATAAGTGGTAGACAAGCTCTTGTTCACACTGCTTTTATGCCAGAGTTGCAGACGCATACACATAAAATACTCCAGCTTGCTCCTAACAGTTCTAAACTTACTGAAATGCACTCAAATAACTACATGAATTAGTTGTGTAGAAGATAAAGGCAGTCTCACAGGGGACACTACATCTTGTGGTGCTGATAAGAAACAAGAACTTTCAAAGCAGCAGGAAAAATTTACTATTTGAGTTGCATTCTGTCAAGTGCTTTTTTTATAAGATGCTAAATTCTACTGTCTTCTTTTTCCTTAATGTAAAAGGTTAACAACAGAATATCCAGGACACTATGGAGAAGATATGGACATGATGATGTACACTTATGACTACTACATCCGTGGGGCAACCACAACTTTCTCTGCTGTAGACAGGTTTGCTTTTCCCTTGTTTCATTAGAACTTTTAATTATTTTATTTTAAAAAAGGTCTTCCTTTGCTGTTTCCCCCAATCAGTGCACAGCTACACATCATCTGCTGTGGTATTCAGCAGCAGGTGAGTACTTCTGAGGACCATAGTGGATATGGCTAATTGTTCCAGGTGGTGCATCAGGCATAGAGCACCTTCATGTACAAGCGGGTCATTTGCCATGTCCATCTGAGCAGTGAAAAATGCAGCAATAAGAGGCTTGGCTGAATCTGAGCTATGCAAAGTGTAAACCAGATGTTTAGTTTTGTTTCTCACCTAGAGTATCTTTCATCTAACTCAGTAAAAAACCAGCCTGAACACCCTGTCCTTTCAGGGAATGAAGCACTTACTATTTCTTTTTGGAGAAGCAGGGAATCTGCCATCATGTGAAGATCAGACCCTACAAACTGCAATGTGAATGCTGTAAATTGCCCAATCCATTGCGACACATTTCTAACAGATTTGACGCCACACCAGGAATTAAGGCAATGCAGTGCACATAGATCCCTTTCCAGAAAACAACTTAACAATTTTTAATTTGGACTTAACGTAAACCCCACAGTGCTGTTTGCCTGGGACTACAAAGATCATTACAGAGCAAGTTTAAGGAGAGTGTGGTCACTGAAACCTGATTGTGGGAGAGGGATTTTAATTCTTTACTCTCAAGCTGACCTCTAATACATCGAGTGTGAGCTATTTCTTTGCTGATGTTTTTTATTAGACACCTCAGTCCAGCATATTAAAGCATTTGTTATCAAACACAGGACAGACAGCAAGGCAAGGCATACTGTGCTGGCCTATCACTGCCAAAACTGTCTAGAAGAGAAGGGGGGAGAGAAAAGAGAAGTGGGAGTTTAAACGCACCCGCAGTTCAAGATTCCTCTAGTAACACTCAAAGGAACCGAGGTGCTTTTGGCACTGTGATACTCTCAATTTGCTGGAGTTCACTAGGAGTCCCTCAGACAAAAGCTTACTTAAAATACTTAAAATAAGGAGCTGCAGGTCCATAACTGTAATTTTCTGGCGAAAATTCATTAGCTTGTTCATTGCCAAATGGAAGCCATGTCTGGAAATTGCTCCTACAAGTCCAAGAGTAACTTTCACAGTTAACTGAATCAGTATGTGTTTATCCCTTTAGATAAAAAAATTACAGGGTTGCAAGGGACATCCCTTGTTCTGGGTTTTTTCTCTTAAACACTTCCCAGTGCTGTTATCCTTGTTCCTCATAACTATAGCAGAAAGTAGGGGAGATAAAGCAGACATGCTCCCCCTTGCAGCTGGATTCCAGCCTCCATCAGATACAGACCAGGGAAAAGTCAGAAATCACAAGGACAAGCCTCAAAAACAGAGCAGTTGAGGTAATGGATGCCTCTGAGCAGATTTCTATCTCTGACTGCTGAAGGCTTAACACAGCCCTCAGAATGGAATAGCAGTGGGGGGACTAGGCAGGAGCAGAGCAGCACCACAGGGGTGTACATCAGGAGTAAAGGTCCTCACAGGTTATGGGACCGCAGCACCTGGAAAGGGAAGAAACCACCAACACCTTCGTCCTACTGCTGCTGTGACAACAGAGATGAACCTGCAAAATAGTAGCAGGTGAAAACTGTAGAGAAAACATATTATGATTTGCAATCCAGGAGACTTTTCTGTGCTAATGAACTTTCTGGCTCCCAACTTCCAGAATGACTAAAACCAACTTGTGTTGTCTAGTCTATGAAGTGAAAAATATTCCTGCTACACCAGTTCATAATTCAGACTCATGCCAGCCTATCCTGAGTGGCATACTCACAAAAGTCAGCAGAGTTTGTCAGCCTAAATGGTTCTTTGCATCTGATTGAGGCAGAATAGGAGCACAAAAATCTATTCCAAGTTTCAGCCTGCCAGTAGAACACACATGCAGCTTGTCTGTGTAAAGATGCTGTAGACTTTGAGACTGCTTTTCATTTTTAAGCACATAATTAAAATTGTGTCCATACTATTTAGCCCATGATGGGCAACGCTCTTGAGCTAATAAGAGGCACAAAAAACCCCTCTGAAGGTATTTTAGTTTAAACTTTGCTTCAAACAGCTCAGTATTTTTAGACTTTTCGAATAAACTTGCAGAAATCATATCTTCCTTTATTACTCCCTAAGACGTTGTATCACTGAGGTCACTGCTGATACACAGATATTTGAGAGAGCAGGTGATGCCTCTGGCAAAAGCTGTAGAAAGTTTAGAAAGGTGGTATCCCCACCTCCTCTTCCATAATATCTCTCTGTACATTTCCATGCCTGTGTATCAGGAATGAATGAAGGAGCTGCTGTGCATCATCAGACATTTTAAGTGCTCATGTGTGGAGAACAGACTTCAGAAGTGGTTACATTTTTCAGCTCCACTTTAAATGGGTCAAAGGAGAAAACAATTGTCTATAAAGCAAAACAAAAGCAGCTGGAGAGAATTAGCAGAGGCCTGAAATACCCCTGGGAGCATATCTGGGACCAGTGGTAACACTATTGCAGACAGGCTGACCTGTGGAGGTAGGTAAGTTAACATGTACAGGGAATGGCAGTATTTTTTGTTAAACAGAGTGACACAGGCAAGTTTCAGAGGGGGTGTGTGAACCTGGCTGTAAACAACTGAAAATACCCACATAGACATGTACATTGTAAAATAGCTTCCAAAATTAAAAATAATCATAGATTCATAGAATGGTTTGGGTTGGAAGGGACCTTAAAGATCATCTAGTTCCACCCGCCCTGGAAGGGAGACACCTTCCACTAGACCAGCCTGAGCTCTGAAACATGCTAAGTGAGGAAGGCAGGGGTCCCTCACAGAACCTTGGTCAGGGACTGTGGTCTGGTTGGATCTGTCTTTCAAGCCCAGAGAGTACCACTGGAGCATTCCCCACCCAACCTGCAGCAAGTAGCTTGGACAGGAGGTGGGGATTACCAGATGTGCTTGGTAGGTACCACAGCTTGGTATTCACGGCCTAATGTAAAAACAGCATGTGAAGACTGTCAAAATCTCATTTCTTTTACAAAACTGTTCTCTGCTCTTATTTGGGTGATCTGAAGAGCCATTAGTTTCTTAACTGCTCAGACATCACCACTGAAATACCCTGACAACAAGTACATCTGAAATGCCTGGACAAGCTGGGTATCTACCAAGCTCAGCTGAGCTAAATTCTAGGGTATTTTAGGTCCCTAATAAGTTTCATATGATCAAAGAAAGAGGATTTTGTCAAACTCAATAGGAAAAGGAATTCATAGATAATTTTTTAACTAAATTGGAAACAGATTGTTTGGCAATATTTGGATATAAAAGATATTTTCCCTGTAGCATCAAAAATTCAAATCTGACAGCACATGACAGCTGGAGAGTAAAGGCGACAATTCAATATTGACTCCCCAAGCCAAGGAAAATGCAGCAAATCAGCAATTTGGAGGGGACCTACAAACTGGTGTTAAGAATTTGCAGAGGCATGTTCATATATATTCTAGAGTGTGCCGCACTGGACAATTCCAGATGGGATATGCACCCCTGCTGGAAAACATGAATGGGATCTACAAATTGAAACAGGCTGATTACTATTGAATTTAAAACACAGTAACAATGGTACAGAGCAATAGCCTACATCCTGAAAAGTTGGACATATGCGTAACTTCAAACATAAGTAATACAAAAAAGGATGTATTAAGACAGTAAATGTATAAACCTATTGTCCATTGACCACATGGATATATGCCAGAGTGTCTGCAAATTCAATCTGAAATTGCAACTTCAGAAATAATTCTGTTCTGATATTTTAAAGCATGTTATTAATTTAGGTAACTAAAATACATTTATTTTAAAGAACTTGACTTTTAACTTTACGATACCCTGGTTTAGAAAAATAATTTTACCCCAGCTTTTGAGCTAAAAGTCTCTCTGACAAAAGGTACTAGTTTAGCAGATCTTAATTTTGACTCATATAATCCTGTTAATCCACATATGTGCCACCTTTTGGTCTGTCTAGGTAGCTTGGTGACCAAAAGAGTAATAACTGTCTTTGAAATGCATGCATATAATCCAAATGAGGACTTCCTAAAATAAACCTAAAAATGAATCTTGCATTTCATTAACCTTTGGGTTTATGAGGAAATTACAATTAAAACCCATCTAGGAAAAGCCCAAATTACACACTATATAACTAAACACAGACTTGCTGGTGAGTGTGAGACAGACCCATTCCAAACAACGCTAAGCATAAGCTGGTAAAGTGGCATAGTAAATTTCCAATTAAAAACCTCAGCTAATGAAAGCTGAAATGAGACACTTTATATCTACACAGAGCTTAAGAGTCAAATTACTCTTATTTCAGGATAGAGTCACACAGCCAATGAAAACACGTAAGAGCCACTCATACCAAAACCTGGGCTCAGGTGTCTCAGTATATCCCTGAGAGACAGCAGGTTCTGCACCATTTTCCTCACTGTTTACAGCTGGTCACCAGGAAACCAGGATGGTGCAGGAGTCTTGAAAAGCAAGCTCCTATTGAATCACTCCAGTAGCATTACCTGTCGCATGCCTCAGGTTTAGGAGATCACCATTAGCAGAATCAAAACCTTCAGAAACCTCCCAGAGTATTACCCACTACCAATTTAAATGATGGCTGCCATCTGCAAGGACTGTACTTTAGATGTGAACTCCTGTTAGCCAGTACCAAGTAGTCTAAATTGAACATTTGCTCCATAGCAGGACAGTATTCAATCCTTTGAACTTACACCTTTTTGTCAAGGGGAAATTTAACACACAATAAAATCAGGTGGAAATTTGCAGCCTATTGGACAGTAGACTATTGGCTTCCACTGTTGAATCCTGCTGCTCCAGTCATGCTTCCAGCCAGCAGTTGTTAGTAGGTATGGTATCACCCTCCTGAGAGAGAACACAGACATCCAATTACTCACAGACTAGGAAGAGCATAAACTCTCCTTACATTCATATACATTGCTCTGCCTCACATGTGACTTGCGGAAGTCAAGGATGACAAGTGAATTTAATTTCTCTCACTACTGATTCCTTCATATCTTTAATAAAAGGTTGAAGCTAGATGACCTGGGGGAAGAAAAAGAGAAAAAAAAAAAAAAAGAGAAAAAAAAAAAAAGTTAATTTTGCTGTGTGAATAACTCCCCGCTTAGAAATGACTTAAAAATCACACACAATTTTATTTTGTACACATTCCTGAGCAATATATCACACATCAATGACTTTTCACAGAAACATCCTTTTCCTCTTGATCACTGATGTAAAGTCGATTTAGGACTGATCACCACCAACAGTCATTGTTTTCTGAAGGATACTCAGAGACCTGATTATTCAGAGAGCTGATTTTCTCCCCTTGTAAGGAAGTGTGAAGGAATTATATTGGACACATTTAATCTCCTTCCATCCCATAAAACCACAAAATATCCACAGGAAAGTTAGCTAATGGCAGGCAGATGTTTTTGTTGCCACAGTACCTGGGGTAAAGTTATTCTTACTTGTGTAGTCTTATCCTCTGCCACTCTGGATCACTAATATCTCTCTCTTGCCTCTCATGCAGGGATCGTCAGTGGAAATTCATTGTCTGCAGGATGACAGAGTATGACTGCCCATTTCAAAATGTTTAAAAGATTGAGTGTACCTCACTTGGAAAGCTTGGGGACAGACAGGGTGGGATGAGGCTCAGTGATTACAGAACAGCAATTAGGCTCACAAAAAAATACCAAGACTCATCAGCTGTCTGCTGAAGATACAATTCTTTCCCTCTGGAGCTAATGAATAAATTACCAGCCCACACACTTGCAACAGCAATTTTGGAGGATTCCTTCAAGCTGCACTGGCAGTCGTATCCCCCAATTAAAATTGATTATGGCATACAGGTTTATGATACTCAAGTCAATGGCATATGCACTATTACCTTTTTTATATAAATGTATAGCCATTCTGAACACTTGCAACTTTCTTTCACATAGCAACTTTGTATAAATTGCCTCCTAGTACAATCACTCAAAATGAGGTAGAAACACACTATAAGCTTTCCAATGTGAACTAGACTTTCCTGCCTTCTACTTTGTACTTGGAACCAATGCAGTGATCCCTACCAGCTTCTCAGCACCAGTAGCTGAGAGTGTGCTGAAAGAGGCATCAGGAGGTCTCTGATGCATCTGGCATTACATGTACAGCCCTCAGTGTAATCCCACTGCAACAAAGGTCTGCCTGCACAGAGGAACTCCAAGTATTTACGACACTAGAAGTATCAATACCTGATTAAATGAGCATAGATCCATCAATAAAAACAGAAGCCTAACCACCCAGCTTTACTGACAGTGTCTTTTATACCGTCTTAAAGGTCTCTCATGCCATAACTAGCCAGGAGCTCTACTCTAGGCAAACCCTGGAGCAGGTCAGGCCACTTGCTCTCTCAGTAAATACAAATACTGCACTTGTCAGGAGTCTGCTTTTTAGGTGGATTGTGTTTCCACCATGGATGCCTAAACAAATTTCATCTGCCCTTGTTAATATACTTTTGGCTTAGAATAGACAAATAAAGCTAATGACTTAGGTGACCTCAGTTCCTCCAACTTGCAGACCTCATTCCCTGTAAAGGATTAGCTGGCCATGCTTCAAAACTGCACAGCACTTGTGCAGCTGTAATCCAATAAGAAAGAATATTGATTTCTTCCAGGAAGGTCAGAGGCAGGAGTTTTGCTCTTGAACAAACCAGAATTTAGTGTTCAGTTTCTCAGCTGATGAAGTCAGTGGCAAACTTAGCAGTGGCTTGCATGGTGCTGGCTCAAGGGCCATGATGACCCTGTGCGTCAATTTAGTTGTAACGCTTCATAGGAAACAAGAGGTGTCAGGCAGTCAGTTTCCATGTTCCAAGCATTTTTAATATATTTGCTAGCATACCCTCAAGTGTGAGCATTAAAACTACACTTGTCCAATAAAAGTATAATGGGTTTTGCATTACTGTAGCCTTGTTCTTTCTTGATTTTACTTACACCAGCTTATTAGTTTACACACAAAGAAACCCTCTGTCATTCCCAGAGACCATGGTGGTGATTAGAGAGTTTCTGTGAGAGCCCATTGCTGAGACATGTACATAACAGCGGGAAAGAGAAATCAAGAGCCCCAGGGAAGCTGGAGAAGCTTGTTAGCTGACACAAGTGGACAGGCAAAAGAAGCCAGTGGAGCTCCAAACAGTACAACACCATATGAAAAGGCACTCATGGCAGGGAGTTGATGGAAAAGGCCAGGCACTATAATCAGGCATAGAAAGATCATCTAGGAAGACCCGCTCTAAATTGATACCATCTTATGCACAATTTTATCTTGACTGCTGTGGCTGCTCTCAATTCTGTGTGTGCACCATGGTCTTATGGAGGCCTCTGTGGGGGACACTGCAAGATCAGCTTAAGCTCATTTAGACCCACAGCACCATGGAAAGGAGCAGTTCTACTCTGCCATCCACTGGCGTGGCAGTGTGACATTGTCCCATATACCACCTTTCTCCTTCATCCCTGTCCCAGTCACTTCCTTCCACCCATGCTCTATTCCCAGCTCCGCCCCAGCAGTGCATCTGTGTGGGATACATTTCACAGGACTCCTCTTCAGGAACTTAAGTAATTCTCAGATGAGAAAAGGAGTGGGTGGGAAACAGAATGTATCTTGGGAGAAGGCAGAAATGGGATGTGGACCAAAAAAACCCAAAAAAGCTGAACTGAGGCAGAGAAAAAGTGGTTCCTAAGAACTCCTAGGACAGCCAGTCAGCAAAGCCAGGAAGTGAATTTACGTTTTATCATCTAAGTTTTTATCTAAGTTGCAGCATCCATTTCTAATGTTAGGTAATCTTTCCATGTTGGCAGACATTTCTCCAAAGCTGATAAGGTTCCAGCCCAAATTCCTCAGCACAGAGCAGGGCGATAATGAGCCTGCCTTGCAAAAGTTCACTGGCTCCAAAACCTGACCAAGACTGCTTTGACTTTCCTAAAGCCATTCCAGAAAAGAGAGCCTTTTGACCTGCTTAGATCACCTCACCAAATCTGAACCACCTTTCACTCATGCTAACACAAATCAGACACCACTGCAGGGAAACAGCATTGTGCCTATTCAGGCCCAGTGCAACTGAGCACAGATGCCTGGTACAGGGAGCCCACAGAACTTGCTCATTCTTGCGTTTGCCGTGGTACACAAGCACCCCACCTACACATGTAATATACAGAGTGAAAGTCACCCCTGATCTAAGAGCCAACACAAAGCCAATGTATCACTGAAGTCCCTTCTCTGCCTAACATTTTAAATAAACCATTGGTTTTTAATAAATAAAACATCAGGAAATAATGTCTTCTTTATTTAATAAGTAACATCAGTATGGATAGAATTCAAACCTCTGAGAGAACAGCACTCTTTTGTAAATGCTGAGTGTTGCCCCAGTCACGCTCCAAGGGCTGCAGATGGCACACTGTCAGTGTCGTCAGGGATTTTTTTAGACAAACTAGGGCAGGGGAATCTTTGCATTCACAAGGGGAATTGCAGCAAATTTCAAAAAATAAACCCTTTTGGATTTCTCTAAGTCTAAATGAAAAAAGTTAAGAATAAAAAGTGGGGTGGGTGGGCTGGTGGGGAAAAGAAATACCAACACTGACTCCCTTTGTGGGTCTCCTTTCACCTGAAAATGGGTGAAGGCTGGTGCTAAGCCAAACCTACATCCCCCATCCACTTTGACCCACTTCATTTGAAGAGAGGTTTGAGTAAGAGAACAGCATAAGTAATTGGGGGAAACACAGACAATGCTATCAACCCCGAAGAGTCAAGGAAGAGGACTTGACTGAAGATTAACTGAAGTTAATCTTTCTTCCAAAACTTAATGGGGGACTTTCACAGGAAAAAAAAAATACAAAAAAAATAAAAGAGAGAACTTTATTTTTTACATATATTCTGATTTCTCACTTGCAGAGTATGTAAGCACTTCCAACATTTTTCCACATTCTTCACTTCCACTATTTTTCAGGTGCTTCAAACAGTATTTTTCAATTACTTCTCAACAACACTGAACCTGTAAATGCATTTTTTAAGTGAAGGCTGAGATTCTTGTTTAATCACTTGACAGTGAGAGCTGGGATTAGTTTTACAGGACATCAAATACTGTAAGACTAATAATAAAGTTAGCAACACAGCACTGATGTAAAAAATAAACAGCAAGCCCATAGCCATGTTGAAATAAGGCGTATTTCCTCTAAAATCAAGAGGGACCTTTCAACCTCTTCCAGTCAGTGTTCAGGATTTTGTACTGTGAAATAAACCTGGCAGAGAGTCATGGCATCACCTAAGCAGAGAGATGCCAACACAGCTAAAGAGAAACCAGTTTGTGGATAAAACAGAAGACCTGGCAGAAGACCAGTTGGCTCTTAGGAAAACTTACTTAGACTTGGCCCTTGACTCACAGCCATTTGATCCTTTTCTGGTTTTAAACGTTATTTCAAGCCTATGCTTATCACACCAGCAACGTGGTACTGTACTGGCCTGTGTCTTTAAGGCTACAGTACTGTTTGCAAACAGAGTATGAACATCACTGGTAGTGGCACTTTGAGCCAGAGTTGTTGGCATGAACATTTGTTGGCAGGAGGAGTTCTGCTAATGACACTTTATCAAACATAAAACATTGCTTCTGCCTACATTTACTTTTGAAGACACAGTGGTTACACAAGAGACTGCTACCTTATTCCTCACTATTTCAGGGTACTTGTATGCATGTAGCTGATGCTCTCTGTAGTAATCTGGACCTATGCATTGAGAAGCTTAGAAATGGCAGCAGGGCTGCCCACACGCTGAAAATGAAAGACATGGACAAGTGCCTGTGGGTCAGAGTCAGAAGGCTTGGCTCTGTCTTTCAGCGTACCTGAGCAGCATTGACTTCAGCCATATTCAGCTTGGGAACTTTGGCCAAAATTTATGGAGCCCAGTCTTAAGCAAAACTCAGGCACCTAAACATTTTTCAAGATCTTAGCTTAGCTGGTGCATCTCTACCAGGAAAACTGGAAAAACTGGATCTCAAGTCAGAGGGAAATAAATTGAAGACTGTGCCAAGATACATAGGGACTGACAAGGCATTGCATATTCTCGTCAGACTTTCTCAGACATAAAAGCCGTGAAGTGGTCAGGCAGTTGAACCAGATAATCCTTGTAGGTCCCTTCCAACTGAAATAGTCTAGTCTTGGAAAATCTAACTGATTTAACCTCATGAAGACAATGAGGTCAAGTCCTAAGACTCTGCTACATTTTTGCAGGATATGAGCTTCAGTTTATGTACAGGACCAAATTTTCCAGGCCTTGCCTGAGCAAGACAAGTCACCACGCTGCAGAACCTGGTCCTAAAAAGATCAGCCCAAACTGGGGAGAACACAGAAGATGACATAGGTGCACAAGAGACAGTCCTATCTGAGAGAAAACTCAGGAGAATGCCAAAACCTGAAGTGAACAGTGAGACAGATGAAGCCACCTGAAGAATATGTCATTATGTAATTTCTTAAAATAAAATGCATGCTCCTCTATGTTAGGAGATTAGATGACTGGGATAATTTAATACCAGCAAAATTTCAGGAATTTGGAGAAAGCTCCCCAAATAACTTTGCAAGGAAAAAAGCTAGCACAGTATATCAAATACCATCCCTGAAAAGCAGAGGGTTTGCCAAATGAAGCAGAACCAAGTAATAATGTTGGGAGCTCTTAACCCTTGACCAAAGAAAACAGAGATGAGAACAGAAGGAGTAAGTTAACAATGAAGTGTGAGTAGAAGGAGGAGGTGTGATCACAGTTGAAAAAAAGAGGCAAGAAAAAAAAACAAACACAAAAGCAAATGAAATCTCAACAAACTAAAGAAAATGGACCTTGGGAACAATATGAACTGAAATTCTCTGAGTTCCATGGTTGTGCGAGGCTGCAGAAGAGGCTTTGCTTCAGCTAACATAAACACATTGCTCAAGCTACTTTGAAGTCTGAAGTTACTTAAGACTCTGGCTTGGGTTCAGACCCATGTTTAAGTGAACAAGCTTTGACTTGGAAATGGATATATTTAAGCAAAAACACAGCCATAATTACAAGCCATCCAAAATTCAGTGCTTTTGTCTTTCACTGAAATGTAGCAGATGCCACAGCTGTGTCCAGGGGTGAACGTAACTCCCATCCATTGGTTTTCATCCAGGCAAGCTCATAGAGATTTTTTCCTCCTCAGCCCTTACTTCTATTTCATCTGGGAGGCAGGAAACATGGCTTTACAAACCATCTAAGATGGCCTTTTGTAGGTCTCACCTTGGGTTATATAGTAGCCCAAACAAGGATGCTATAACCTGAGAGGGAGGCAACTAGCTTCTCCTCATTTATTTTCCTGGTCAAGCTTCTCTTCCTCTATGTTTCACATGATTTTACACTGAAGCTGTTCCTGTGCTTTCACCATCTCTCTTGTGTTCATGTAAGAATGCTTACAGCTACTGAAAGGTTTTGCGGCAGCAATCTGCCTGCCTGGCCTGTCATGTCACTTACAAACTAATTGCATACAGCACCATAAAAATGATAGAAGACAACAGCTTAAAACAGCTTATCATAGTGCAATTTCAGATACATCTCCCCACTTATCAAAGTCTGGTCCAAAGTCCACTTATAATAGTAGAAGCCTCACTATCAGTTTTTATGAGGTTTGCACTTTCCTTGTGTGAGGAAATAGTGCCATCTCACATGGAGAAAGCTGATGTATCTTTCTCAGTCCTAAACTAGCAGCAGGCAGGGGATGCTGCTCTAGTAAATAAACAATCTCTGATCATGATCTTACACAAAAAGATCCCCTTTCTTCCTTTATTTATCTTCATTTGACTTAGTCAGTGAGTTTGACACTGGGTGAAAATTTGAGGTAGCCTTGGAGAAATTCTTACCCACATAACAGACAGAGCACTTTCCTGTCACATATGTCTGACCTCCCCTG